TCTCAATAATAAATGAAATGAAAATTCAATATATTCTTAATCAAACACTAATGATAACAGCAAACCAATAATAATACTAAACACTGAGACTGTATGCCACTGTCCTAAATACTTTATAAGTAATAATTTATCCTATGAGAAAAGTTGGAGACATACACAAAAATTTACCTGCAAGGGTGTCCCTTACATTAATCACAACAGCAAAAAACTAGAAAATGAAATGTCCAACTGTGAGATAATGATTAAGTAAATTATGGTAGATACACAGAATACTAGCAGCCATTAAAATGTTGCAGACGCCGGGCGCAGTGGTTTATGCCTATAATCCTAGCACTTTAGGAGGCTGAGGTGAGAGGATCACTTGAGGCTAGCAGTTCAAAACCACCCTAAGCAACAAAGCAAGACTTCATCTCTACTAAAAAGTAAAAAAAAAAAAAAATTGGGCGTGGTGGTATACACCTGTAATCCCGCTTAAGTCCAGGAGTTCAAAGTTACAGTGAGTTATGATGATGCCACTTCACTCCAGCCTGGACAACAGAGTGAGACATTTCCTTGAAAAAATAAAAAGTTGCAGAAAAGTCATTGTATGGAAAGATGTTCATGACAAATCATTGGGCCAGAAATCTACAAATCATACACAGTGGATCTCTCATGTAAGCACAGAGGAAAGAAAAACACTTTAGAAGGATATATGTTCCTAATTTTGAAAGGTAGGGGAAAAAAGGAATATACAGTTGGCCCTCCGTATTCCAGGGTTCCACATCCATGAATTCATCCAACCATGTATTGAAAATATTTGGAAAAAAATGAATAAAACAATATAATTTAAAAAATATAAGCAATAATGAATACAGCGTAACAAATATTTATATAGCCTTTATATTATATTAGGTATTATAAGTTACATAGACGATTTAAAGGAGGATATGCACAAGTTATATGCAAATACTACACTGTAAATACTAAACTGTAAATTTTATAAAAGGGACTTGAACATCCATAGATTTTGCTATCTGCAGGGAGTCCAAAACCAATCTCTCGGGGATACTGAAGGACAACTGTATGTCAACATATCATCCCTATGTGATGAAATTGGCAGTGATTTTTATTTTACTCTTTTACTTAATTTGCATGTGAATATAGTAGTCGCCCCCCCCCCCTTATCCATGGGGGATATCTTCCAAGACCCTTAGTGGAGGACTGAAACCATGTATACATGGAACCCTATATATACGGTTTTTTCCTATATATACGTACCTATGATAAAGTTTAATTTATAAGTTAGGCACAGTAAGAGAACAAAAACAATAATAAAATAGAACAATTACAGCGATTATTGTAATAAGTTATGTGAATGTGCTCTCTCTCTCTCTCTCCAAATGTCTTATTACCTATTTTGGGACTGCAGTTGACTCTGAGTAACTGAAACTGTGGAAAGCAAAACCATGGATAAGGGGGGACTACTGGTACACTAAAGCTATCTAAAAACTGAAGATTGAAGGTTGGAGTAGGATTCCTTCTGTTTTTGCCCTCCAGTAAAATGAAATAAAGGAATACAATTCTTTGAGATCTGGAGAACAATTCAAGAATAATGGCCATTAGGAGGGGTGGAGGAGTGAGCTCTGAGTAGGCAGGGTCAAAGGGTTATTGTAATGATGCAGGCAGGGGCAAATTAGGAAACAGGTACAACATGAAAATTGGGAATGGGAATCTCATGATTCCGCCAAGTCTCACTGACGAGGGATGGTAGCTGTAGATCCAAAATGGTTTTAAGATCCATTTTGCAGAAATTCTTGGATCTTCCCTCCAACGTGTTGCCATTACACACAGACACTGCATGTCTCTACCACCCTGGCCCCTTTGAATCCGTTTCTCACACCTTCTATTATTTCTGCCTCAAGGTTTCTGTTCACTCATAGATGAGGCTCATTATTTCAGTGCTCTAGTACAAGACACAGAAAGTGGGAGATCATCTCTGTTAATGTTTAGGAATCTCCCATATCACTGATGTTTGTAGGACTCCAGTAGTCTTCAGCATGCCAGGACATCCCTGCCAAAGTAAAGGGCAGGTCGTTCCACTTCACACCCTCCACTATTAAGAAAGAAGCACAGCTACTGAAGGGAGAGAGATGAAAGCTTTTAATGCTGAGGAAGACAAAAAAAAAAAAAAAGAAAAAGAAAAAGAAAGCACAGCGCTTTGTGGGTCTCTTTGAATTCTGGAAGCAATACATATCCTACTTGGGAACACTGCTCCAACTCATATATGGGGCGATTCACAAAGCTGCCAGTTTTTGATGGAGCTGAGAGGGCTCTGGAGCAGACCCAGGCTACAGTGCAAGCAGCAGCCACTTGGGTCACATATCACAATAGAGCCAATACTCCAGGTATCTAAGATAGATTAGGATGCTGCTTGGAGTCTTTTGCAAGACCTGGCAATAGGATAGTCACAGCGCTGACTCCTAAGATTCTGGAATAAGGCCATGCCTTCTGTACCAAAGAACAATTCACCATTCCAAGAGCAGCTGGGTATCCACCATGAGATGAAGTGAACATTCAACCAGAGCTGCTCATCATGACCCAGATAATGTCAGAAGCACTGAGTAATGTGGTCAGGTGGACCCAGCAGCTATAGGGCCCAAATGAATAGTGCTATGTCTATTAAAGGCTTAGCTAAGGTACCAGCTTGGGAACATCCTGCTGGGTGGAGGCTTAGAGGTGATAATGTGGTGTATGCAATGAACTAATGGTCATATATACCATAACATGTCCAGTAGCTAGAATTCCTGAGTCTGAGAACCAAGAGAACATTAGCCCTCTTTGCCATCCCAGTGACTCATTGTGGAATGTGTGTTTCTGGTCCTACAAATTTAGATTCTGCTGGATAAGAAGTCCTGATTCCCTCAGTGGGGCATGAGAACACTTCCACCAGGGAAACACAATAATCTGAAGCTATAACTATCTTCTGGTCACTTGGAGCTTCTTGTACCTGGGAAACAGTAGACAAAAAAATGTCCCCATTTTTGGCAGCAGTAAGTGAGCCTGATTACAAGGACTAGGGTTCTGCCGCACAATAGGGGCAGGAAAGGACATGTCTGGAGTCCAGGTTATTCACTGGAGCATCCCATTGCTTCCACATCCAGTCTAACTGTAAATAGTCAATTGCTACAACAAAGGCCACCCTGATACTAGAGTAACTAAGGTCTGATCTTTAAAAATGAAGGCCGTGGTGACCTCATCAGGAGCAATCTGGATCTGCTAAAGTGATGGCCAAAGAAGAGAAATCTAGAAAGCATGATTAGGGGAGACAATGAGTATCAGTTATGGCCTCCAGGCCAGCTGCAATAGTGTGGACTGTATCTTCTTCCACTAATGGTCCCATAGTGAGTGTTCTTTAGAGATGGTACAGAGCCATCACCTTGAAGTGCATGTTATAGATTGGACTCAATATGTACACAAACAGATCCAAGCAGTGCATGGTGTGAAGTACCTCTTGTACCTGCCTCACATGCTCTCAGTCTGTTTACTCCAATTATTGCTGCCACAATTAGCTAGTTGCCTGCAGGTGTGACCTGACAATGCTTCACCTCAGCTGCACAGCAGCATATCACTTGCCTTCAGCCCTAAGCTTCCTTCCTGCTGCATGTGATGCTTGTAAAAGTAGCCATCCTGAAGCACATTCATACCTGGAAATACAAGGGAATGGCATGGGATAACTCTCAGCTAATAGGAATTCTGTGTACATCCCACAGGGCTCCTCAGAAGGTTCCCACTACTCTTAGAGACAACACACTTGATGGGCTTTCCCTCCTTCATATTTCACTCTTCCCAGCCTCCCACTCCTGTTCTCTCAGGTCACTTCTTAACATAAACTACCTACGTAGAATCCTTTCTCTCAGGCTCTGCTTTTTAGGGTAACCGGGGCTAATATAAGGATCAAATGAGAGCTTTGAAAGCTAAAAACCAATATACTCATGTAAACTAGCTCTAAAGAACATGTTGATCATCTACAGCACTTGACTGTATTCTTCCTTGTAGATGAGATTGTCACCATTTCAAGACTGAACTACAAAGCATAGGGTAGCTTTATTTTATTTTTGTAAAGCTGGGTCTCTCTACATTGCCCAGGCTGGTCTCGAACACCTGAGCTCAAGTAATCCTCCTGCCTCAGCCCCTCAAAGTACTAGGATTGCAGGTGTGAGCAGCTGTGCCCAGCCAGCAGCTTTAATACTGTTATTTCATTTTCATCTTCATGACCTTGTGAGGTAGTAGGCATTACTATCTCCATGTTAAAAATGAGGAAATGGAGGCCAAGTATTCCAACTGTTAAAGTCAACCTAGGATTCTAGCCTAGATCTGACCTCCGAAGCCCATGCTCTTAGCCATATTTCTGTTCCTCACTATGATGCCACTCTCCATCTTCTCACCCCACAGTGGTCCCCAATCCAGCACATCTTGCCCTTTCACACTCCTGTTCTGTCCTGTCAGGCTTGTGAACTTCAGGGCCTACATCAAATGCCATCTCCCTAAATTCCTCATCAGCCTGCCTACATCATTTTCCTGAATCTCTATCATATTTTTTACACTGGTGTTACTCTTCTGCTGCATTTACCACTGGGACTGGGCCAGACTTAGGTATTAAATAGTACAGACACCTAACAAGCACTCAAATAATAACTGTTCAATAAACAATTGTCAGAGTGTGTACTCACTCCTTAAGCATAGGCACTAAGTCTGTCTTATTGACTTCTACAGTCTTAGCACATTAACATAGTGCTGGCTCATAGTTAACACTCATTTGTTGAATGAGTGAATGATTGAATATAAATCTGTTTCTTCACTAAACTATGAGCACTTAGAAAGTATGGATTCTACAATGTCCAGCAAATGTTTGCTGTCACTCTGACAGCAGTGATTCCCAGCACAGGCCACTTTTGCTTCTGTTGGTAGGGTGTTAATAAGTTTTAACATTGAAACAAGGTAATATTAAGAAAGAGAAACTATTTAATGATTAATAGAAGATTTATTTAAGCATGAATCCATGTAATCATGATTACCAGACTTAATATGAAATGTTAAATGTTCGCTCCAATTTTCCTTCCTGGATAAGTTTTTCTTTCCTGTCCTGTAGAGATAAAAAAAAAAAAAAGTACATTAAAAATAATGCAGTCTGGTACAACCTATGGTACAACTCTGAAAAACAGAATGAACATCCCAAACTTAATTTCAATCCCATTGTCTAAAGCTCAGGGAGTGTATGAGGAAACAGTTACCTAAAGAACTAAAGGGACAATAAGAAAACACTCCTATTCAAAAACATCTTACTCACATTTTAGAAATCAGAAATATATTATCCCCCTAAAAAGCATATATTGAAAGCAAAATATAAACACCTTCTGGGAAAGTGGAGACAACCTTTCTGTTAAGTAGATCATTTATCAAATAATCAAAATACATAGGCTCTAACAGGAGAGTAGATTGGCCAGTTTAAGACAAAGCCAAATGGGTGGACTCCAGTCTAGTTGGCAACACAAGGCCTGGGGGTCTAGCACCAGAAATGGATTTGTCTAGTGCCAAAGATAAGCTTGGCTTTCTCTGCAATCAGATACCCAGGCTTCTGACTCCCAACACAGGCCACTTTTGCTTCTCTGTCGCTAGAGTATGAATAGGTTTTAACATTAATTCACAAAATGTGACCAACATAACTACAATTCATGCAAACAGGAAACATAAATGATTTACAAATCTACTAATACTTGACCTAATAAATATCATCTTTTTTAAAACAAATGAACTAAGAAAAATAAATAAAACATTTGCAAAGAAATGATCTAAAGGGTAATGAAAAGAGAAAAGTTTAATTTCTACATATCTTCTAATGAGAAAAAAGAAATTAACTTTATAAAGTTATTTTGGTATTCCTCTGCTTAATAATCACAGTAAGGCCGGGCGCAGTGGCTCACGCCTATAATCCTAGCACTCTGGGAGGCCAAGGTGGGTGGATCGCTCAAGGTAAGGAGTTCAAAACCACCCTGAGCAAAAGCGAGACCCCATCTCTACTAAAAATAGAAAGAAATTAATTAGCCAACTAAAAAATATATAGAAAAATTAGCCGGGCATGGTGGTACATGCCTGTAGTCTCAGTTACCCGGGAGACTGAGGCAGGAGGATCGCTTGAGTCCAGAATTTGGGGTTGCTGTGAGCTAGGCTGATGCCATGGCACTCTAGCCCGGGCAACAGAAAAAAAAAATTATAATCACAGTATAATTTATTTATACTATCTAAAACACACAAGGAAAACTCTTCCATGAGCTAAATTCAAGTCTTAGAAATTTAAGTTGACCATTTTATTACTTCTAGAGTAGCCATTATATTAAATTTGAAAGACCCAGAGGATACCATGATTTTTAACAAAGTATATTTCTATACTAGTTGAAACAACAAAACAATAAATCCAAATATAAATGAAACTTTCTGACTTTACTCCAGCTGGAAAAGAGTAAGGGTAAAAGAAGACAGGATGGGAAGAGAGAATACAGGGCCAAGGTGGGAGGGGCAATGGTGCGGCAATCAAGAGAAAAGAGCTGCAGCTGGCACCTACCGAGGGGCCCTATCACACAAATACTAAACATCTGGTCCTAATACTTACCCTGTCAGTTTTGAAAACATAATACCAGAAAAAGAGGGGCCCAATCCCACACACAGCTCCTAAGAGAGAGTTCTTGGGAGTGGGTCTGAAATTGGGATAGATATTTGTTGATCTTGCATAGGTCCAACGAGTCAAGGCAGGATCTTCCTAAAATTAATAAAAACAAACCAAGTTATAGACTTTAAGAAGGGCCATATCGAGAAACAAATTCATCCTTTGTGAAGGAGCATAGAGATAGATGCCTTTTGTTCTCTGTAATAGTTAATGAATGTTCCTAAATAGCTTCAGGGAAGATCTTTCATTTCTAGTATTTTTTAAATAATTCTCTGATGATCCTGTTCAAATCCTTCAGAATTTACTCTTCTATCACCCTTCAGCTTTCTATTAAGAATCATAATCTTTTTAAATTGTCAGAGAAGCTCCTTTTTTGCATATATCATTTATATCTATACTTCTCTGGACTGTTTTTAGCTTTGTTATCTTTCTTGAAGTGTGACCATCACAGAATCATATTCCTGATGAAGAGAAACAGATTTCATATGCTCTAGCATGCTTTGTAGTTCGTTCCAGGATATTTTCTAATGCTATCCCCACACTGGTCTTCCAAGCTACAAATAAGCTGCAGGAAAATGGAGGAGGAGGTAAACTACCTCTGAACTATAGGTTTTTTTAAGCTGATGACTGATATGTTAAAAGCCAAATTGGTACATTTCACACTATTAAAAGTTTTATAGAAAGGTCAAAGTTGTTAAAGAAAAATAATCAGATTGTCTTAGTTAACAAAAAAAAAAGTAATTGTCTATTTTAATATATTTATACTGGAATAACTATCCAAGAATAGCAAATCTACCCCAAAACACATAATTAAGTTTAATTAGCTAAATCCCCACATGATTTTACAAAATTAGTCTCTCCAATTAACTGACAGATAAAAATAAGCAAACAAAATCAGCCTTAAAACTTTATTGTATGACATGAACATTCAAGGTCCTAACCAACACCAGGAAGTCATGATTGGTAGGACTGAAATAATATAACTGGGTCTTCCACAGCCATATTTCAAACCAAACTGAATTATAGCAAATTTACGCTCAAAGATCAACTGGAGCTCAGAAGTAAAAAAAAAAACCAAAAACCTTATGATGGAAATGCTCCCCCCCTTCTTTACAATCAGGTTGAAAATCTTCAAGGGTGTGAGCCTAGATTCAAACGTCCAAAAATACCTTCTGCTGCTCTAGAAACTATTAACATTATTATACCACATTAAAATAAAAGCAAATTCTGCAGCACTATTTATTACATCTGTATTGCAAACAGTAAAGAGAGTAAGGACACAAGATACAGGCCCAATGGGTTGTGTGAGCTCAACATCTTAAAGGATAAATACATCTATTCTTACATCCTTTCTGCTATAAATGAATTTGAATGACTATACAATGACAGACCTCTCAATCTGCCAGTCACCTCTCCATGCTTTAAGATCTGCCAGATCTGTCTTCCAGAAACAGACATTTCATAAAAATATCAATAGTCCCATGACCATGGTTCACTGAGCCCAGTATCATTAGCAGAGATTAAGAGAGGTTGTAAAAGACACACCATAGGGGGCAGTTTTCCTCCTTGGACACCACTCAATGTCCTATGACTCTCAGCAGCATTTGACATGGCAAAAACTCCTTCTTGAAATAAAGTCTTCACTTGACTTCCAGGGCCCACACCTGCTTGGTTTTCCCCCTAACTCTTTGGACATTCTCTCTTCATCTCTTCTGCTCTTTTCCTCCTTATCTCCCCAAACATAACCAAACAAATTTCCCAATATTTCATTCTGTCTGTATACCTGCTCCACTCACACTCTTCTTTACCCTGGAAAAGGCAACTTCATTCTTCCAGTTGCTTAGGTCAAAAACCTTGGCGTCACCCCTGACTCCTCTCTTTCTCTCACACATTACATTCAATCTGCCAGCAAACCTGGTTGGCTCTACTTTGAATATACATCCTGAATTGACCACTTTCCACCACCTCTCCTGCTGCCACCATGGTAACCACCATCAACTAAGAGATCAGATTACTGCAAAAGCCTCCTAACTAGTCTCCCTGCTCCTGTCCTTATTTCCCCATAGTCAATTCTCAACTAAGCAGCCAGAGGTCTTACTAAAACGTAAATCCAGATTATGTGACTCCCTACTCAGTGAAAGTCCTAAACAGTGAACAAGACCTGGTGTGACCTAGTCCCAGGTACCTCTCCATCCTCACCTTTCTCCACGATGGACTCTTCAGTAATTTTTGAATTAACCAGGCACACTGCTGTCCAACAGCCCTTGCACTTGCTGTCTCCTCTGACTAGAATGCTACTTTCCCAGAGAGCAGCCCAGCTAGCTTCCTTTCCTCACTTCTTTCAGATCTTTATTCAAATGTCTTCTTCTAATTGAGGCCTTCCCCTGGTCCTATTTAACATTGTAGAGGTTTAACCTCCCTGCTACATACAAACACTTGGGATCCCTTCCCCTACTTTGTTTTCTTATCATGGACCATATAACCACGTGATATGTTAAATAATTTAGTTTTTAACTTGTTTCTTGCTTGTCTCCCCCACTGGAAAGAAAGCTCTATAAGGACAAGGAGTTTTGCCTGTTTTGTTCTCCATAGTTACATAAGTATCTAAAACAGGCCCATTATGACTCTGAGCTATTATCCAACTGAATCAATCATTCTTAAAGATTAGACAAGAGAATTTATATGTAATGATTAATAAATGATTGCATCACATACTCATTTATTTAATTAAAAGAACCAAAGAGGCAGGTATTATTACTTCTATTTTACATATGAGAAAACTGAAACTTCCAGTCATAGAGCTGGAAAATATTACAGAAGATCTGGGGTTTCAACTTCAGTTCTGAATGAGGCCTTATTCTTTTTTACTATAATATACTAACACACCAAACGCAATCCTGTGAGTATGTATGTAATAATTGTGGGTCTCTGCACCTTCTTCCCAAGTAAACAAGGTACTGGCTGGAGTACAGGCAACTAGTTAAAAACATGCTGTGGGTGACACAAACTAGGGTTCAAATTTTGCTCTATCACTTGCTAAGGGGATATTTCTGCATAAGCTACTTGACCTTCCCATATTGTATTCTCACTTGTAAAATGGGGATAGTAACAGCTTAATTTTCTGAATAGTTGTGATATGTGAATAAAATAATCCTCAAAGAAAGGTTTAGCATATAGTGCCTGGCACATCATATAACTTTCCTTCAATCCTCACAACTTCCAAAAATTCCAAGAGAACACCAGTGCAACCGCTGGGACGTCTTTTTTTTTTTTTTTTTTTTTTTAAACATCGTATTTTAACATATTTAGACAGCTCTCATACAGAAAATTATCCAAAAGCACACTTGTTAAATAATAACTACCAGTTTACTGAGCATATATTTTGTGGTGGGAATATTACATAGACTATCTCATTTAGCCTCACATTTCTATGAAGAGTGCACATCATTTCCATACGAACATCAGAAGACTAATTTTTCATAATGGTTAGGTAAGTTGCCCAAGGTCATTATAGTCCGCCAACATGTGGTGCCTAGGGGTCTGACTCCAAAGCCCAAAGCTTCAGGGTCTTTAAAAGATATAGGTTGAACAACCACTATATTTCCATCAGGAGAAAGGAGTAGCCTTATGAAATGTGAACTGAAAAGTAAAAAACAACTTTTTAAATTTTATAAATATATAAACATTTTCTGATCACGTGTTACAAGCAAGGCACGTGCTAGGCCAGTCACGTGCCTTACCTAATTTAATCCTCCCGACAATCTCATAAAACAGGAAATACTGTATCATACCCATTTTTCAGATAGGAAAACCGAGGCTAAGCAGAGTTGAATACCCTTCTCAAGGTCACTCAGGTGGGAAGTAATTAACCCAGGATTCAAACCCAGCCCTGTCTCAGTCCAGAGTGTGTCCTCTTGACCACCGAGCTCTGTGGCCAAGGTCAAAGGGCTAGTGGGCCTGGAGAGGATATGCGTCTAACATACTGATCGGAAGCGGTGGCCGCCACCCTGCGTGGTCTCCTTGGCCACTGTGGGCTGCCCATCCCAAGGGGACCGCCCGGACTCGGGCCCTCGATTCCCGCCCGGCCGGCCCCCTACTCACAATGAGCCCTCGGCGGTCGGGGTCGTTGTACTGAAGCAGGTACTCCCGTTTAAGCCGGGCTCTTATGGCCAACCGCTCGGCTTGCGCCCGCCGGGTTTCCGGAGATATGTTGTATTCGGCCGGGTCGAGGGTCGGGGGCAGGGTGGCCAGGCGCGACGGAATATACTTCGGGAACGACATCTTGGCTACCCGGCACACAACTGCGCCTGCGCGACTCTGAGGCCCTCCCTCTTCAACCTGACCTTTACCTTCAGGTAGTGCGCCTGCGCGTTAGCGTGAGGTTGGGGCTGGAATTTAACAAGGAGTTCAGCGTCTTTGCCCAAGCTTCCGGGACACTTATGCGCGTAGCGATCTGCGCACGCGCAACGTGTTCGCATCCGCCCCCCCCTACATACCCATCTGTCACTCCTTTGCTTTTTCCTGGCAGCCTTATCTCTACTGACATAACGAGAGCTTATTATATAAAGTTAAGCTGTGGGAGACTGGTGAAGACTGGGAAATGGGACTGGGTGTGGAGTCAGAAGTCCTGATTTTTAATGTGAGTCTGCCCACGCTGTGTGACCTTGGATAAGTCACTTAAAGTCTCCTTATCCTGGAGATAATGACCCCTATTCTGTCCACCTAGCAAAGTTATGAGGATTTATTAAGCTAATGAATATATGACAAAGCGCTTTGTAATAAAACATAAATCCCTACCCAAGATAAAAAGAATACGTTTTTTTGTACGTTACTACATTAGGTTCATACACCATAAATATAAGCTTATTTTTTATATGTATAAAATAAAGATTAATAGGAGAATGATGTCATCGGAGAAATCCTGCCTGACTGACTATAGATCAGGAAGGAAATGAGGTATTGACTAAAGCTCATACAGGAATAATATCTTAGTTAAAATACTGAAACCCCTTAAAATCCTTAGCATTCTTCAGGTGCTAAGAATGAAAACCATCCTTGCAGATATGAAAATGCACATAGGGATGCTATATCTTACTGTAAAAGATGATTTGGGGAGAAAACTAAGATAATTGGAAATAAAACCTTTTCCATCCCTCCTGTCCTTCCTCCTCCCCCTCACTACTACCAAGGAAAAAAGCAACTTGAAGTTACACAGCCTCTGCTTTGGGTACCAATAAGAGTCTTTGGGTACCAATAAGATAGTCCTCAGGGGAAAAAATGGAAACAACATTTCTATAACTTGGGCAAGGAAAGCTGGATCAAAAGAGAGCTTCGGCTTGGCTGAGCTGTCTAGGGACACGTAGGTATGTTGGGAAATGGTTGCTAGGTAGAAAAGGGACCGAGAAAGTGTTGGCACTTGAAATGATGAGGAGCAGCACTGCTGTCAAATTTATTCAACATTTTAATACTGTTTTAAAATATTTATTAAGCACCCACCGTGTGAAGCATACTGTGCACTAGTCAGTCTTAGTCAATCTTCTAGGCTCAGTGGGGGAAATACAGAAGAAATGGAAGATGCCATGTGTGTCTTCCAGGAGCTGACAATCAGGCAGTACAAAAAGAACAGACAAAAACATGTCAATATTTGCAAAGTATGTTAATGTCCAGATTAATAAAGAGCAAAATGGACTCATGAAAATGGAGGCTGAGGGACTAGAGGAAAAATAAATTTGAGACAAATCACTCACACTCAATTTTAAAGGAGGAAAAAAATAAGGAAGTTCTGGTTTGTTCAAAGGTGTTTAGAAATATTAATAAAACAATAAGAAAAGCAGGAACAGACTATAAAATTCTAAAGACTGCATAGATAAAACTTCAAAAACCTTTCATTTCTAGATTAGACACTGATCTAGGAAGGAGGACATGTAAAAAGAATAAAAGATAAAGAAGGCAGTCCAATGAATACAAGCCAGCTGGCAAGGTTAAAATAGATTTCTTAAGGTTATGAGAAAGAGAGAGAGAGAGAGAGCTTAAGATAAGTTAAGGTGGTTATTCCCACACTTGCCTGATTATTATAAGGATTGCTTAGGACAATTGTTAAAGACTTGGAGCTTAGCCAGTACAGTGGCCCACCTACAGTCCTAGCTACCCAGAAGGCTGATGCCGGAGGAATCCATGACCCCAGGAGTTTGAGTCCAGCCTGGATAACATAGCAAGATCCTGACTTTAAAAAAGTTAAAATAAGTAAATAAAAATATGGACTGTTTTTTTAACTCTGAGTTTCTGTTCTGTTCTTGGAGATTCAGAATTGGTATGGCAGAGGAACACCAGAGTCTGTATTTTTTACCATTTCCTGGGGAGATTCTTAAAATATATTGCATGCTTGAGAAACAGATGAGTACAAGAGGTCTTTCTTTCCCCAATATAATTGGTACCAGAAAAGGCCCCTCTTAGAGTGAATCTATTAAAGATGGGGAACTAGATTCCACAGTGAAAGAAAAAGACTTGATTGGGACTTTATTTAACCAAAATTATAAAAATGAATTTATATTTAACACATTTTAGGTTACAATTGCAACTATGTGCTAATTACGATAAATCAACTGTCAATTTGGGGTGACACAATTTTTATATGGCTCATTATCCTTCACTTAGTATTTGATTTTTGTAGCAGGGACATATTTGCAAAAGTATTGGGCTTTATCCATTTTTCCCAAGGGCCTCTCATCATTGTTACTGACTTTCCCTTTTTCATTTGTTACTGGTCCAACTCTCTGAGGCTCTTCTTTATTAATGACTTTGCATGTGGATCCAGCAGTTCACCAACATCACTTTCAATTTCATGAAATTCCACATCTTTTGCAAGATTGGCAATTTTACTTAGCAGTAGATTTTTGTTGTCTTTGAGCGGTGGATATTTCCAAATGAATGACCAAGCCTTTGATAGAGGCAGGTGTGGGCACTAGGGTAACAGATTGGACGATTTAAGTGGGGAGCAATTTCACAAGTTGTCATTTTATCAATGAATATTTTCTGTTTTGAAGACGTTTACATCTCTGAGAAATCTCCTAACAGAATTCATCAGGACATAGATTAGAAGGACTAAGTATATGTGCCTGTGTGTAGCTGGAGGAAGGGAAGAATGATGTAGTGAAGTGGAAGAGTTTATTGCAAATGTGCAGGGGTGGTCAAGCTCTGTGATCAGGGGAAGGCTTCAGGGAGCAGATGATGAACAGGTGGACACAGAAACTGCAAGAAAGGTGAATAAGGAAAAGACAGAATTATCTTCCTTTTCCCTCTGTAGAAAACAGTATTGCAAAGATCACTGTCATCTGAAGAGGTGTACAAAGTATATGCAGGCAAATACATACATGAAAAAAATTTAGAGGTATATCAGAAAATTAATTCAAATATTTTATAATTTTTCTGGATTTTGTTATGTTTATATTTTAAATGTATAATTTATTGTTATTCTTCTCATTCATACCTAGTTGTATTTGTAATTTTGTATAATTTTTTTCTTAAAGAAGTCCCTCCTCTCCCCACCAAATTATATAAGCTTCAAATCCCATCAAACCTGGATCTTCCCATTTGTCCATCTTATTTAGGCTACAAGACTACTATGTGAATTAATTTAATTGGCTAGGAGATTCAGGAACATAGGGTGGCAAGGAAAGTCATCTCTTTGGTTGTGTAGCCACCCCAGGACCTTGTCTTCCAAAACTAAAATGAACAGCAGCCCTAAAGGAGAATAAGAACAATATTCCAGAGTTTTCAGGGTCTCACCTGAGCTCGAGTAACCTGATTTCTCATTATTTACCCAGCATTTACCTCTCCTCCAAAAGAGGATACTATTGGGTCAGTTTGACATTGTTCAATCTAGATTGCCACAAAGTACTATGTGGGGGTTGGCTTTCATTGTATCTAATTCCTCTGTGGTTCTGTTGACTTGGGCACTGTCCCAATTGTGTAATATGATAAAACAATTATACTATTTTCACACAATAAACCCCTAAATTACAGAAGTTTATCATACTTAGAAAAGGCCTCACATAGAGCTACTTTCTTCAGAAGTAGTAATATATCCAGAAGGCATTTTGAGACTACACATCCTGTCCATGACAAACGTACATTACTTTCTATATGTTCCTACCATAGCTTTGTAATAAATCTTGTTATTTCATGGGGTAAATCTCTTCATTCATTGTATTATAATTAAAAATTATCTAAGCTACTTTTTTGTTCCTCTTCTCTTTCAGGTGAATTTTAGAATTAAGTTGTCAAGTTCCACGAAAAAATATCCATTGAGATTTTGATTGGAATTGCACTAAATTTATAGCTTAATTTGGAGAAAATAGACATCCTTATCATATTGTATTTTCCCATCTCTGAACATTAGTCCCATCTCCTTTTATGTCCTTCAAATATGTTCTGTAACTTTCTCCATAAAGAAGTCTTGCCTCTCTGTTAGATTAATTTCTGCTACATTATAGATTTTATTGCTATTGTTGTTTCTGTTTCCTACTACATTTTTAATTGTTTATTGCTGGTATATAGGAACGTTATTGATTTTTGTATACTGATCTTGGAGCCAGTATAATTGTTGGAATTTTTATTAGTCCTATTAGCTTTTCTATACATTCTTTTGAATTGTTTTATGTAGTCAGTCATATCTTTTGCAAATAGCAGGCTTGCCTTTCCTTTTCCAAGTTTTATATTAAAATACTTAGTTTTTTCTCTTTTATTGCACTAGCTAGAACCTCTAGTACTATTTTTTATAATAGTAGAAATAGAGGGTCTCCTGTCTTGTTCCCAACTTTAATAGGAAATATTCTAATATTTCACCATTAAATATGGTGTTTGCTATAGGGTCTGAAAAAGCCATTTTTCAGGGTAAGAAAATTCCCTTATGTTTCTTGCCAAAAGTTTTTCATTCTTAAAATCATGAATGAATGTTTGATTGATCAAATGCTATTTCTACATTTTTTGATCTATTATATGGTGTTTCTCTATTAGTCTATTAAAAAGACAGAAAGCCTTGCTTATTTAGTTCTTGTCCAGTTTGGGTACTGTATTTACATGAGTAAGTTGGATAGATTTCCTTCTTTTTTATTTTTTAACTCTCCAAAACTGTTTGTATAAGTCAGGGACTATCTATTCCATGAAGGCTTTGTAAATTATCTAGTATAACTGTCTGGGTCTTCCATCTTTTTTTCAGGGGAAATTTTTGGCCATCAGTTTAATTTCTGTAATGGTTGTTGGTTTGTTCAATTTTTCTGTTTCTTCTTGAATTAATTTTGATAATTTATGTTTTCTCAAATGTTTTGAATTTGTTGCCATAGAATTTCTAGTCTCATC